TGTCGTGGTTGTCAACCTTTTTCTGGAATTTCTCAATGGGAAAATAGCAAATTTAGTCCTTCAGAATTTATAACATGAGCACTTTGATTCCATGACTTTGAATTTGTTGACTCAATATACTCTAAGAGAGGGTGAATTGGAGTTCCAAAAACTCTCCCCTTTTTGCAACCACAAAACCAAAAATAAAGAGAGTAGAGAAGAGAAGCTTGCTCAATGATTTTATAGAGGTCGGTTCAACCACTTGGAGCCTAGTCCTCTACCTTGGCTTCACTCATCAAGGATTTTCTCAACATTCTCCACTAACAACAACAAGGGTGGCTTAAAGAAGCCACTTAATCCTTTTACAAGAAGAAGGGTGTTTTTCTCAAATCTCACCATTTACAAGATAAACCCCAAAGATCCTCTCTACTCTACAGATCACTCTTGAAGGAATCAACACACCCCCAAGATCACTCACTAATAGCACAAGAAGAGAATTACAAACAAAGATCTCTCAAAGATTAAAAACTCAAGTTAAAGCTCATATAGGTAGGTCAAGATATTCAATACAATACTCTCTTAGCTTCTTCAAATCTGTTACCAACCATATTTATAGCCCCTTGCTCGAAAATAGCCGTTTCTAGCCGTTGGAGGTCATTAAATGCCCTCCAGGACGCAAAGCTTGAGTTGCAGGATTGTCAGGAGAGCCAGCTTAGCTTCTTAGAGCCGGCTCTATACAATCGGCTCACCATTTCTGCAGCCGACTTTGCGGGTCTCTTGCACATTCTGTTTTCTTCCACAGCCGGCTGCAAAGCCTAGAGCCGATTTTAGGATTTCAACTTTAAACATATTAAATAATCTTCAAATAACTCGACTGTTATGCATTAAATGCGCCCTCATAGCCGGCTACAAAGTGGGAGTCGGCTCTGCTTTCATTTTCCGCGTGCGCCAAAATAGCAGTTGAATTTCTGGCCTGTAGAGCCGGCTCTCTGCATTTTTGCCCCCCAGAGCCGGCTCCAATTTTCTTAAGCCGGCTCTCTGCATATTTTTACCCTTTGAGCCCTTTTTAATGCAATCTCATTTTGCTTACTTTGCAGTATATTGGCAATTTAACT